TTACTAAAACACCCTCACAAATATTTTTTTGCTTTTCTTCATGAAGTCCATAGTAACAAAGAAAGGGCCTATTTCAGTAATGTAATTGAAAAAAAAAATGAAACAAAAAACTTGCCTGGCCTGCTTGATGGATGTGTGAGTGTGAGTGATGTAGGTTGTTCATTGCAGTTATCTGTTTCTCCCTCTCCCCCATTTCATTCCATTCCATTCATTTGCATGCTGGTTCTTTCGTTGGGGACTTTACTGAGAGTCAAGCAGTCATCTGAACCTGATAGCTTTTTATTTTAGACTTGTAGAAAGCTTACGTTCAAAGACATTTTAAAGAGTCCGTTTTAATAGTCTCCCCAGTGCTCTTGCTTGATCTCTTCTTCCTGGTGAGCAGAGGCTGACACCACTACAAAGATTTGTGCTTGGTCCCTGGTCAGTAAAAGTGCCTCCTGTCATTTTTTGGTGATTCCTTTGGCTGATTAAGAAGTGACATTGACAGGCACCAGAGGGAGCTCTCCTCTGTCAGAAAGAGAGCCACTCAGGGGACCTTTGAAACTAAGGGAAGTTGAGGCCAAAAATGGACAAGAAGAGTAATCCGGGGGGCTCAAAGGTCATGCATTTCTTCCTCCAAGGACAGAAAAAGTATTAAAGGAATCAGCCTCTAGTTCTGTTTTATACTATACAATTGAAAGCCTTCGGCATCTCTATTTATTTAGTCTGTTGTGCTTATTGTTTTATTTTAAAAGATCATCTTAAATTGTTTTTCCTGCCTATATAAATTCATATACAAATTATGAACAGCAACTAATCTCCTACACACCCTAGCTCTCTAATTGTAGCTATAATTAGGAATATTAAAGCACTGTAACTATAGAAAGGAAAGTTTTGTACAAAAGAATCTTGCCATTTTTGTTTTTATTAACATAAAAAGGTCAAAATTACATATGCCAGATGTGGCTCACTCTTCTCTCCCCCCCACCCTTATATGTTATTTAATATAAGGCTTTAATGTTCAGTATGCCATTAAGAAATCAAACATGATGGTTTGGGATTTGGCACTTGCAAAAGCATCTGTGATAATGATGCAGAAGAATCCTTCAGAACTTTTATGATAGGGATGGTGGTGACTGAGTTAGATCATAACACGCCAGATCAAACTTGACTAGACAAAAGAGAGTGCGAGTGATGCAACCCCTGGTTTGGATTATACATAAAAAGAACACAAACACACACATACACACGCACAGATTCCATAAAGTCTCTGGGCATTTTATTAGAATGCAGACATCCTTACTTGACCATATATCGTACACTGACAACTACCTGATGGGCAGGAAAGGATGAATTAATAATGCCTGCTGATTAAACAGCACAACTGCGGATGTAAACTTAGTACAGTCCTGGAGGTCAGATTACTGTGATCTATAACAGACATAAATAGATTGCAGAGGCAAAAAACCAAAGAGGTTTTTTTTAATGATATGGGCTAATTTTTGTTCTGATGACTCAAAGGACAGCACAGCACCATGTAAAATAAAGCCTAAATATTTCAATCTGCTGATAGTTGCTACAGAAGGGCCATTTGAAAATGTAATTGTTCCAAAACACAGTTAATTTTGTGCTTCAAATGTTAGGTTATTTGTTGGTTTTCATTTAGGACGTTGCAGTTTTTCCCAGATCAATATTGTATTTTATCAAAGTCAAAGTGCAGTTATTCAACAGGAAACTAAACAGCTGGTGCCTGTGTACACACACACACACACACACACACCGCTTTGATAAATGATTTACAAAAACAGTTTTAAAAAGCAGAGAAATATGGGGTAAGAATTAATTACGGGGGCCCTTCCTTCCTTTCTGCCTTGGAGGGGAAAAAAAATCAATAGTGACTGTTTGTCAAAGAGGAAGTAACCAGTTGGTTCCCCTGAGGCAGATACGAGCATATGCATTCTCCCCAAATCTTCACAGAACTGGTGGTCTTCTGTTATGTCTTGTTCCTGAAAGATGCTAAGCACCTATCTGATGTGCTGAGCCTCCTCCCCCCAATTCCCACTGACTTCAATGGGAGTGGAGGGCAACAGGCTGGGGTGCTCAACCTACCTACGCACACAGCTACCAGGATTAAGCACAGTGCTAGCAGCCTAGCGTCCTAAATGCTTTTACCATCTTAGCCACTTCTGGTCTTGATAGTGCTATGCACTTTTTCAGCATTCTATGCCGTTATGAAATGGGTACCATTTTCTCCATTTTGAGACTCAATGATATCCCTAGGACCACACAGCAAATCAACGTCAATTAAAGAGTTTCTTCTAATTATTGTTTTAAAAGATACACAAGACTTTGCCTCCTCTTCTCAGGGTGGTGGCTTCCACCATTAGCAGGGCGGAGTCGAGGAGGAGGACAGCTGGACTATTGGAGATGGGACAGCTTCACAAGTTCCCCAGTCTTCCGGTTTGGACTGTCTGTGGGTGGGAGTTCGCCCTATGCAACAATCTGAACGGTCTCCTGAAGCATTTGATGTGCTACAGAGCCAGCATGTGTTACTCTCTGGATCTTGCCTGGATTAGACAACCACTGATATTTTCTGCTGGATCAAACCCTTAGTTTTAACAAATTGTCAAACAACATTCAAAAGACATTGCTGCGTGGAATCAGTATACACTGGTCTTCCTATGCTTATAGTACTCAACAGAGAAAATAAACAGTGATTTGTCTCATTCTTTCACCTGACTTATTTAGTGTCATTCAGTTCGCATCTGTAGCTCATTGCAATTCCTTTGTACCATGTGGTTGTCATGGTTGTGTAACTTCCACCTAGCTCTGGAAAAGATCCGCATCTGCCTTTTCTCTCTGTCGGATCAGACAGACAATCACAGACACACACGGATAATCTTTGGGGAGATGGGTTATTATGTCTTCCTGACTTTTGATGTGAAACCCTTTCTCCCCCCCCCCCCTTTTACTAAGCTCTGTGTAATCTATCTTCTCATTTATCACGTTCCACTTAAGACCGCACAGCTGAGTGGATCATTTTGGTTTAAGCATCATTGTTGATCTTTATTTTAAAGAGGAAAAGTAAATTCTCCCAGGTGAATTTTGTTTCTGTGTGTTCAAACCAGAGACCTTCTCTAATGGTTTCCAGCATGATACTGTGCTAGTCCCAGGAGCGTGCTGGGCTCTTGTGAACTAAGAAAAGTCTTTCTGAAGAGTGTGATTAATGGACCATCCCAGCACAAGGAATTAGATATCCTGTTTCTGACATACAGAACTAAATGATATGAATCCATACAAGAGGCCTCTCATTTGCTGAGGAACCTGTATTGTCACAGCTGTATTTTTTCTGTTGGGAATTTACCTCAGTGTTTACTCTAATTAGAAGAGACCAGCATACTCTCAGTGGACCAGAACTCTTGTGGCCCCCAACATATCCTGCAGCATTTCCGTTTTCTTCCTTCCCCCTTCATGCAGTTCAAGATTTGCTGTGATTTGTTATCATGTTTCTGTCCATCTACGGAGGGGCAGGGGAGAAACCCACAACACAGACTCTGCTGTTCAATTCAACTTGATTTGTGGTTTTTTTTCATTCTTGTTTTTCTGTCTAGTCCCTTTCCCTTTGTCAGTGCCTCTCAATTTTTGGAGGGAGAAATAAAGACAGCGTTAAAAACAATTCGAGCCCAAAAGATTAAAATCAGGGCAACTACTTGACTATATGGAGAGAGAGAGAGAGACACACACACACATTTAAAACTAGTCTGGATAAAGCACTAGAAAACTCACTTCAGGAAACAATCTTGCACTGGCAAGGGGAAGGACTAGGTGACCTAATAAGCCGCCTCCATTTCTGACTTGTGAGTCAGATTCTCCCTGTGCTGTGTCCCCTTTGCACCATGACACTGGTGCAGAGCAGCCCTAGCGACAATGACACCCAGCCTAGGGGGTTCACTAGTGGCACAGCAGCTCCCATGCTCTCTCCCTTCCAACTGTCAGTGTAAGAAGCATCACTGGGGGAAAGGGAGGGGCACCAGGGCTTTCCTGTTCCCTACAGTCCCTCGCTGTGGTCAACCCCGTGGGGCCATTGTCAGGCAGGCACTGTGCTTTATGCCAGGGGACCAGTCCTGCACACAGATCACCCAAGAAGGGGGGGGGGGGGGGGGGGGGCAGAGAGGAGCACAAAGAATGACTAATACACATGCGCGTGCACCCCTCCTGAGTGTCAGCATATGCTCCTTGGCCAAGACCAAGAACCTGAGCCTGTAATTAAAAATGCAATCGGATCCCAAGTAGGATCCTAAACTGTATGTGGGAATCCAAAATTCAATTCAATAAAAGGACTAGTTTATAATATAGAACAGTACCACAGTAGAGAGAGAGAGTATGAATGTATTACAGGCAGAATAAGAGATACTCCTGGCACAGTAAAGAATTAGATCTGCCTGAAAGCTTTAGTTTGCTCTAGTTGAAGTATTTTACTTCTTTTTACATGTTAAAGTAACATTGATAGTTGCATCTGTTCCTTTTATGCACATGTGTTTCTCTTTGGTACAATCTGCTGTCTTTCTTTCTATGCTACTACAGTATTTAGCCTTTTCATGGTCTTGAAGCCACTCCTGCTCTTAAGAATGTAACCTTCATTGGAATGAGGCAGGGGAAAGGGGTGTTGGTTTTAAATCAGTAAATGCCGGTGGATGATCTCCTGGTGGTGCGAAGTTCAGTCCAGGTCCTCTGTATGGTAGCTCTCCACTAGCAATAACACTTCTGTTCCTTCCTCATCACAGAACACAGGCTGTAAAACACTATGGCCCCAACTCGCTAACAGTTTGTGAGAGTGTAATTTCTGGCAGTGGTTCAGTCTGAATGCCAAGAGGCAACATTCTGTTTGTGCCTCTCATTTTTTAATTATAAAATGCCTCTGGTATTTCATGTAATGCATGGTATTTACAAGATCCTTACAGCAAAATGACTGTTAGTGTCAAACTGTGGCAGCTTTTCCATTCCCATTACGTCTTTTTCAGGTCCGCTATGCTGGTGCTGCTGACAGCGCGGTTCAGTTTATCTTCTATCAACCCATCATTCACCGATGGAGGGAAACTGATTTCTTTCCTTGTTCCGCATCTTGTGGAGGAGGTAATATTTTGTGTGTGTGTGTGCGCGATCCCACCTACAAGATAGCTCAGACCTGCTCAGTTATTTGTGACTGTGCCTTCTCGTGGCTAGTCTACAGAAAACATGAGCACGAATACTACTGCAGGGAAGGGAGATTCTCTTGTATTAGAATCCATGGTATTAGCCTGTATTTTTGGATTAGAAGGTCCTAAGTTCTATGGTTGCTGAAACCTTGAAGTCCATGTGGCCATAGTGAATGACACAGCTATCAAATAATGGCCCAGATTCAATGGTATAAAGCTGGTGTGATGGCTACTGTTGATTGTTTAGTCAGTTGCTTGACCTCACTTTGGTTTGTTATAAAATATACTCAAGATGCCAAATGACCAATGTCAGCCAGACTTATTGCTCTAAGCTAACAACAACAACATAGTACAGGGAAAAAGGGTCTATACGATACCAGTCTCTGGGAAGCCATCTTGTGCAGCCTTACATTACAGCGTTATGTGCTTCCCAAGTTATAAATAAACAGCTGAAATGTGTGTGATGATTTTACACATTATAAAATCTCTTTACTAGGGCTGTCGATTAGTCACCGTTAACTAATGCGATTAACTCAAAAAATTGTGATAAAAAAATTCTGATTAATTGCGGTTTTAATCACACTGTTAAACAATAGAATACCAATTGAAATGTATTAAATATTTTTGGATGTTTTTCTACATTTTCAAATATATGGATTTCAGTTAAAACACAGAATGCAAAGTGTACCAGTGCTCATTTTATATTATTCTTTTTGATAACAAATATTTGCATTGTAAAAATAAGAAATAGTATTTTTCAGTTAACCTCATACAAGTACTGTAGTGCAATCTCTTTATCGTGAAAGTCTAACGTACAAATGTAGATTTTTTTGTTACATAACTGTACTCAAAAACAAAATATAAAACTTTACAGCCTACAACTCCACTCAGTCCTACTTCTTGTTCAGCCAGTCACTGAGACAAACAAGTTTGTTTACATTTACAGGAGATAATGCTGACCACTTCTTATTTACAATGTCACCTGAAAGTCAGAACAGGCATTCGCATGGCACTTTTGTAGCCGGCATTACAAGGTATTTACGTGCCAGATATGCTAAATATTCGTATTCCTCTTCATGCTTCAGCTGCCATTCCAGGGGACATACTTCCATGCTGATGATGCTTGTTAAAAAAAAAATAATGCTGTAATTAAATTTGTGACTGAACTCCTTGGGGGAGAATTGTATGTCTCCTGTTCTGTTTTACTCTCATTCTGCCATATATTTCATGTTATAGCAGTCTCGGGTGATGACCCAGCACATGTTCATTTTAAGAACACTTTCACTACAGATTTGACAGAGGCAAAGAAGGTACCAATGTGAGATTTCTAAAGATAGCTCCAGCACTCCACCCAAGACTTAAGAATCTCAAGAACCTTCCAAAATGTGAGAGGGACGAAGTGTGGAGCATGTTTTCACAAGTCTTAAAAGAGCAACACTCTGATGTGGAAACCACAGAACCCGAACCACCAAAAAAGAAAATCTACCTTCTGCTAGTGGCATCTGACTCAGATGTTGAAAATGAACATGCATTGGTCCACACTGCTTTGGATCGTTATCGAGCAGAACCCATCATCAGCATGGATGGATATCCTCTGGAATGGTGGTTGAAGCATGAAGGGACATATGAATCTTTAGCACATCTGGCACGTAAATATCTTGTGATGCAAATATCTTGCTACAACAATGCCATGCAAATGCCTGTTCTCACTTTCTGGTGATGTAAATAAGAAGCGGGCAGCATTATATCCTGTAAATGTAAACAGATTTGTTTGTCTCAGCAATTGGCTGAACAAGAAGTAGGACTGAGTGGTTCTAAAGTTTTACATGGTTTTATTTTTGAATGCAGTTTTTTTCATATATAATTCTACATTTGTAAGTTCAACTTTGATGATAAAGAGATTGCACTACAGTACTTTTATTAGGCGAATTGAAAAATATCATTTCTTTTGTTTTTTACAGTCAAATATTTGTAATAAAAAAATATAAAGTGAGCGCTGTACACTTGGTATTCTGTGTTGTAGTTGAAATCAATAACGTATATATGAAATCAATATATTTGAAAATGTAGAAAACATCCAAAATATTTAAATAAATGGTATTCTGTTATTGTTTAACAGCATGATTAACATACATACATGATGTGGATAACACATGTTATATATTAGTCAATAGCTCCACTCTTCCCTTGCTGATGGCCTAGGGATGTGACTAAGGAAAAATGGAACATAGGCAGGCACTTCCTTTTCATGCTGATCTGTGGCTGCTCTGTTGCCCCCTTAGAGCTGTTACTCCTGGGACCAGGGTGCCATTCTGCAGGCCCAGAATCTTGGGAGTGCAAAGGTTTTCTTTACTTTCCCCTTCCAGAGCTGCACTATGCATGCCTCAGCCAGAAGTACCCTTGATGGGTGGTTCTTCCCTTTTTCATGCCAGGGAACTCCTTTTATCCTGAGTTACGCTCACGCTCATAACCCTGATGCATAAATATTGGGATCCTCCACTTTGCAGAGGCCATTTTCTTAATTGCCCTTATCTTCGTTAAGATTTAAATCAACAAGTCCCCATGGTAATTTGCACTCAATACAAAATTTCCCATAATGTTACAGATGGGCATCTTGCAATAGTGATGGGCATATTGTGGCATATTTTCCCATCACCTATTAACACATCTGTTACAATAATCTTGAAACTTTACTGTTACAAGCTAGTCATGTCAACTTCTTTCAGATTTAAGGCCGGATATGGCTAAGCGGAAATTTGGCAGGCCTCAGGCAAGTAAGTCTTGCTTTACTGCCTTATATTACTTATATACCTAACAAACTCTTACCAATAATACATCCTTATCAATCCTCTACCTCCATAATACTACCCTATGTATTCCTATACTCTTACCTACAACTTTAATCTATTCATCACACATTGATTACATATGGGTAAGTTACAATAATAGATAACACAATTCAATGAATATATAAGATAATTAGATATGTAGGCAAATTGTAGCAATGTGACAGCTCACTGGCATGGCGCCTCCTGCTGGCTGTCCTAGGAATTAGCTCTTCCAGCCCAGAGCATCCTCTGTAGGCTGGTGTCTCACCTGCCACTGGCCCCATGTCTCTTCCGGACCCCAGTGCCTCCTCACCCTGGGGTGCTGCCCCCTGGCAGTGTCCCCACACTCTGGGTCTCCCCTCCCAGGGAACCCCCCAACCCTCTAAACCTACCTTGCCTCAGTGGCTACTGCCAGTCATCATCTAGCCCCTGCTCACTAAGGGGCAAACTGCAGTGTAATGGCTACTCATCATTGGCAAGGAGGTTGGACCAGCTGCCTCTGCCTAACCCTGGGCTGCACCTCTGCAACCCCATTACCTGTGTAGGCCTTCACCAAGGCCTGCAGCCTGGGAGTTTACCAGGCTGGAGCTCCCCAGCCCTATTCCCCAGCACTGCTCCAGTTTCAGGTACCTTGCTCCCAGGCAGCTAGCCCTTCCCACTCCAGGGCTAGAGTGAGACTTCTCCAGCTTCTGGCCCACAGGCCTCTTATAAGGGGCATCTGGGCCCTGATTAAGCCAGCCACACCTGATTAAACCAGCTATATAGTCAGCTTCCCCCAGCGGTTCTTAATCCCTTTCCCTGCTGCAGCCCTCTCCAGGGCCGCTTTTAACCCCTTCAGGGCTGGGGTGGGGTGAACACCCCACTACACAAATCAAAAGGAACTCAGTGAAAAGAAAATGTGCAAATTCCCTGAAGTGCCAGTACAGTGTTACTTACTGGGTTGTTGGGTCTGAAGTAAAAATTTTCAAAAGTAGGTCAGATTGGCAGAGACCCTGGGGTTTTTCACCTTCCTCTGGAGCATGGGGCACCACTGGAAGATTTAAACTAGTATAAATGATGGATTCTCTGTAACTTCAAGTCTTTAAATCATGGTTTGAGGACTTCAGTAACTCAGCCAGCAGTTAGAGGTCTATTACAGGAGTGGGTGGGTGAGGTTCTGTGTTCTGCAATGTGCCAGAGGTCAGACTAGATGATCATGATGTTCCCTTCTGACCTTAAAGTCGATGCGTTAAATGGCCACTGAGGTGCACAGTTATCCTTTAAATGCCCATTTGCACATGCAGTTTAGGCATAAGCTTTTGAAAACCGGGCTTTCTTGCCTTAATGCAGATCTCACTTGTACTGTTTTTATACTAGCATAAATGAAATAAATTTTACACCAGCATAACACCATTAACAGGGAATATTGTCTTGTGGCTAAGGTATTTGACTGTTACTCAAGGGATCTGGGTTCCATTCCTGACTGTCACAGACTCACAGTGGGACCTTGGGCTCCTGGGAATGGCGTCCCCATGCTTTGCTCCTTTTACCACTGTGGTGCCCGGGAGAGCCCTGCAGTTTTGTAGATACCAATTTATATCCACAGATATCTGCATCCGCGGGTGTAAATTTGTATCCACGGCGGGCTCTACAAATAATAGTTCATGTCAGAGCCAAATCAGCTCTTGAGTCTTTAATGTATGTGCTTTTAGAAATACAATAGTATGAACTGTGAGACATGACTATTATCTTTGCAGTGTTAACTGAATTATATTGCTCCTGTGGCTCTAAAATAAAATAAATAAAAGTTAAGAAGTAATTTCAGTAGTGTAGGCATTTTTGTGAGTTAAAGTATGTGTTTCTTTATAGATCTATTTATATACCTTGATCCTATCTATATTTAATAGATTTAATGGGCAATGTATGGGGGAAAATCTGTTTTATGAAGGTTTTGGGGGACACCTAATCTTTTTGTAAAATAAGTTTGTTAAATATGGGGTAAGCCTCTTGTTACATTGGGGGCGGGGGCGTCACTTTGGATAGTGTTTTACAAAACCAGAGTTAACTTGTATTTAATACATGTACAGAGAAAGAAATTTAGCTCAGATGCTCTGTCTTTTGACTCTCTGAATGTCACAGGTTACCAGCTGACATCTGCTGAATGTTATGATCTGAGAAGCAGCCGGGTGGTGGCTGATCAATACTGTCACTACTACCCTGAAAACATCAAGCCAAAGCCAAAACTTCAGGAGTGCAACTTGGACCCTTGTCCTGCCAGGTCAGTCAGCTCTAGCATTAGAAGAGACCAGGCGTTACTTGAGCAAAACCAAATATCTATTTATTCCTCTTCCTGTTTGTTGATTGACCTATAGAATAGCTCCGCCTTTTTCGCTGGGCAGTGTGTACTGGGTAAAGTAAAATTGGCGTGTTTATCCCATGTACAGTGCAAAGAACAGTTTTAGAGATGGTTGTTTCTTCCCTCCAGATTACTTTCTGCCTCATTATGTATTGTAATGTGTGGGAAAACAAACTACCCAGGATAATATCCTATGATAACCACAGGTCATTAAAAGTGTTAGTAAGATCGTAACAAATCCTGAAGGGGAAAACATGTGGCTAGCAGGGGGTAGATCTTGTTTTTATGGGCATTACATTTTGCCTTTGAAAAAAGGACTCCTTGCCACAACAGCTGCTTGTGAAAATTTAATGCAGGAACGTAGTCTAATCATCAACATCCTCTGACCTTTCACCAAAAGCAAAAGACCTCTTCCCTGTCCCCTGCCAAGAACCCCTTCCCATAGAACTTGCAGAAACAGGAGAGGGACAAAATCAGGGCATCCACTAGCTTGTTAGAGCTCTCTGATCCATTTAAAATTCAACAGGTAGCCACTTAGGGGTCAGTCCTGTGAGGTAATGAGCACCCTGAACTCAGTGAGAATTAAGGGTGCTCAGCACACTGAATGGTGGGGCTGTAACTGTTCACAAATCATGTATTACATGTATCTTCTAAATGTCTGTGTCCCAATTCATGGCTCTGCTCAATACAGAGCAAGTGTATAAGTGTGCTCAATACAGCTTAGGAGCAAAGATGCCTTAAAGACACCTACTCTCTCCCTTTACCCTGCGGTTGCTCTGTGCCAGGCTCAAACCACACTCAAAGCAGCCTCAATGGCTGCCAGTGGCCCCGCTGCATGTATACCCTCTGGTACACCAGGGTGTAAGGACACCCCCAAACCCCCTCCCAGCACCAGCTTCAGGGAGGAGGAGGATGGTCTGGAGCCCTTATGGGTGGTGCTCCTCTAACCAGATAAACTGGCTTTTGGCTAGGTTTGCACCAGCAGAGGAGCACAAAGCTGCTCTCACATTAGGTGACTCTGCCCCTTGATCCCTTAAAAAAATGACATAGAGCCATTGGTGTGGATGGTTCGTCACAACTGGGAAAACACTCAAGTTCCTACAGTCATGGAAACAGGTAGTGTTACACACTTGACAAAAACCTGAAGTACATTCACTCTGACTCCAATAAATACACCTTGTAGAATCTTTCAAAAAGACAGAGGGGAACAAAACACACAGATATGTTTAATGATGTGACACAGACTGGTGTAAAAGCAGGAAATCCAAAGTTAAAGATGAAGTCAGGAGGATTGCAGGTGATTTAAGTCAAGGTAGAATTTGGTCTCAACCTTCCTTAAGTTGCACTGCCCCTGTGATGAGAAGGGAGTGTGCAATGGGAGATGATGGACTTGATATTCCTGGCTTTCGTGTGTTTCTGTCACACCCTAACACACAGCGCTGGCTCTCAGTCATGTGCATCTAATCTACAGGCAGAATTTAGCTCAGTGTCTCAACCCTAATAAGGGGTTATATTTAGTTAGGCGTGACAAAGGGAAATGAGCTGGGAAGCAGAAGGAAGTCATAGTATTGCAATCTCTCACTATTCCCTTGGTGAGTCTTACAGATCCAGGATTAGACTACAATGCCCAAAACTTTAGTACAAGAAGCAGCGTTATCTTGAAAAAAATGAAAGATTAGAAAATAGCGTAATATTGATGAATGCAGCCAAATTGAGAATAGGTTATGGCACAAACTTCCACAGAAGATTAGGCCTTCCAAAGGCTGGCCATGTTTAGGAAACACTGCAAAACCTTCTCTTTGACGAAGCCTTTCCACCAGAACAAGAATGACACTCACTGTCAACACACTCTTCTACTTGCCTTCTTCGCCCTCGATCAAAATAAACAAAAAAACAACCCCTCAAAGTAACAAACAAATTAAAAAACAAACAAACAAACCATAACCATGCTCCAAACAGAGGTTTCATACCCCGGAAAGAGAGAAGAACCAGAGATTCCATGAAGTCCATTAGGGACTTTGCTATGGCTGTTGATTTTTAAATAGAAGGTGCTCAGATACTACAGCAATGAGCAGCAATATAAAACCCTCCATAGATTAGATAAAGGCAGACAGACTGAAATCACTGGATCTGTTTCCCCCCCCCACTCCCTCCCATGGATTCAGTGTTCTTTTGTCCTTGATGATAAGGCAACATTTTGTGTGGTTTTTGCTCTCTGTGGTTTTCCACTGAAACAATTACAATCTGTTTTGATTTTCCTCAAAACAAATTTTCCAGTGAGCACAGACCGACCATGGTCAACTATTAAATCTAAAATATTTCAGAAAGTGTGACTATGGAAAAACAGCAGGTTATAATGGAAATCCATTTTACAACCTCAAGTATTGTGAGTATGTCTCTACTTTGAGTTAGCGATGTGATTCCCTGCTCAAGGAAACCTATTCAGGCTAGCTCTCATACAGCTTGTGGGCCAAAGCAAAAACGCAGCCGAGGCTTCATAAGCTCGCTGCCCCCAATACGTACCTAGTATCTCCCGTGGACACGTACTCATGTTGGCTAGCCCCTCCCACCACTTGCACCACCATGGCAACACTTCATTTTTCTAGCAGGTTAGCTTTATTTGAGCTAGTGTTGGTATGTTTACTTGAGCTGGGAATCACACCACTGGCTCAAAGGGAGGCGTGAGCAGCACCTACTATAATGAGAGGTTTCAGAGTAGCAGCCGTGTTAGTCTGTATTCGCAAAAAGAAAAGGAGTATTTGTGGCACCTTAGAGACTAACAAATTTATTTGAACATAAGCTTTCATGAGCTACAGCTCACTTCATCAGATGCATGCAGTGGAAAATACAGTAGGGGGGTTTTATATACACAGAGAACATGAAACAATGTGTGTTACCATACACACTGTAACAAGAGTGATCAGGTAAGGTGAGCTATTACCAGCAGGACAGAGGGGCGGGGAGGACCTTTTGTAGTGATAATCAAGGTGGGCCATTTCCAGCAGTTGACAAGAGTGTGTGAGGAACAGTAGGGGGGGGGAATAGTTTTTCTTTGTGTAATGACACATCCACTCTCAGTCTTTATTCAAGCCTAATTTAATGGCACAGATCTTGGGAGACAGGCCAGTCCTTGTTTACAGACAGCCCCCCAACCTGAAGCAAATACTCACCAGCAACCATACAACAAAAACACTAACCGAAGAACCCATCCTTGCAACAAAGCCCGTTGCCAACTGTGTCCACATATCTACTCAGGGGACACCATCATAGGGCCTAATCACATCAGCCACACTATCAGAGGCTCATTCACCTGCACATCTACCAATGTGATATATGCCATCATGTACCAGCAATGCCCCTCTGCCATGTACATTGGCCAGACCAGACAGTCTCTATGTAAAAGAATAAATGGACACAAATCAGACGTCAAGAATTATAACATTCAAAAACCAGTCGGAGAACACTTCAATCTCTCTGGTCACTCGATTACAGACCTAAAAGTGGCAATATTACAACAAAAAAACTTCAAAAACAGACTCCAACGAGAGACTGATGAATTGGAATTAATTTGCAAACTGGACACCATTAAATTAGGCTTGAATAAAGACTGGGAGTGGATGTGTCATTACACAAAGTAAAACTATTTCCCCATGTTTATTCCCCCCCCACACACACACTGTTCCTCACACGCTCTTGTCTCAGCTGCTGGAAATGGCCCACCTTGATTATCACTACAAAAGGTTTTGTTTGTTTGTTTGTTTTCCCCTCTCTCTCTCCCCTTCTAGTAATAGCTCACCTTTCCTGATCACTCTCATTACAGTGTGTATGGTAACACCCATTGTTTCATATTCTCTGTGTATATAAAATCCCCCTACTGTATTTTCCACTGCATGCATCCGATGAAGTGAGCTGTAGCTCACGAAAGCTTATGCTCAAATAAATTTGTTAGTCTCTAAGGTGCCACAAGTATTCCTTTTCTTTTTACTGTAATGAGATAATTTTACTTTGGCATTGATTTTAATAAACTGTTACCTGACCTGGTTTTTGTTATTTTTTTTTTTAATCCAGTTCTGGATCACACATGTCTTTTCTCTCTGGCATTTACCCCAAGACTTTTTTTTTTTTTCAATAATTTGAAATTCCACATGCTCAAATGTTAAGGCAGGTGGCTGCAAGGTATGTGGGAGGAAAGAGAGAGGGAAAAAAACTTTTGGGCAGATGTCAGGAAGTAATTTTTGTTTTGTCCAAGGCACATAACTAGGCAGAGCTGTTGACATAAAGACCCTGGGGAGGAGAGTCATTTAGAAACAAAGCTATGCTATCCTAATGTACAGGGAGTACCAGAAATGACTCAACTTAATGGAAGTGTCTCCACAGAATGCCAAGTTACTGACAACCATGGCTTTCTGGAGAACACACAGAATCAGGAACCCAGACTCAGAATCAAGGACAGTCTCTGATAAGAAGAAAATAAGGTTCAGAAAACTATAGACAATAAGGATGGTCTTGTGGTTAAAGCATAGGCTGGGGGGATCAGGATTTCTGGGTTCTAGTCTCTACCATGGATTCACTATATGAGTAGCTAAAACACACAATCTCTGTGCCTCAATTTCCCAAACTGTAAAAATGGGATAATAATTCTTCCCTATATCACGTGGTTGCTGTGAGGCTTAATTTACTAATGTTTGCCAGGTGCTCATATACTATGGTGATAAGTGCCATAGGAAAGCTGATAAAAGTAAGTGGTTTTGAAAAAAGAAATGAAGAGGTTTTACTGTAGTGTAGTTTATATCTGAATTTAGACTGAAAGGGAAGGACAGCATTGTTTTCTAATAATTGTGTTCCGTGGTTCTGGGGATTTACAGTGCCTATAACGTACAGTCTTTTACCTCTAGCTTGTTGCTCCCTATTGGCAATAATTA